AACATCCCCATCTGGAAAGACAGCAAGATGTAGCAGCTGGTTTCTCGGCTGTAATATTTTGCCAAAACCACCTTAGTGTGGAAAATCCCTAGAAATTACCCCTGAGTCCTAGGGAGGAAAGGCCACTAAACTCAGCGGGGTTTACTTCTGAGTAGACATGCATAAAAAAGTAGAGACATCACCTTGCCAACAAAGGTTCGTATAGTAAAAGCTATGGCTTTCCCTGTAAGTGATGTATGGAAGTGAAAGCTGGACCACAAAGAAGGCTGATCGTCGAAGAATTGATGCTTTTGAATTATGGTGCTGGAGGAGACTCTTGAGAGACCCATGGACTGCAAGAATATCAAACCTATCCATTCTGAAGGAAATCAGCCCTGAGTGCTCACTGGAAGGACAGATCCTGAAGCCAAGGCTCCAATACTTTGGCCACTTCATAAGAAGAGAAGACTCCCTGGAAAAGACCCTGATGTTGGGAAAGATGGAGGGTACAAGGAGAAGGGGACGACAGAGGGCGAGATGGTTGGATAGTGTTCTTGAAGCTACCAGCATGAGTTTGACCAAACTGGAAGTGGAAGACAGGAGTGCCTGGCGTGCTCTGGTCCATGGGGTCATGAAGAGTCGGACATGACTAAACGACTAAACAACAACAAAGACATGCATAGGATTGCTCTGTAAGACATTTTCAAGGGGAGGTCTGCTGATTAATATTTCGTTGCAGCCGTTTATATACATCTTATATACAAAAGCATTTTCCAGCCCTAGAGGCAAACACCCAGTGGCGTTATGCTATGTTCGTGGCACTTAAAATATGTCTTCCCCGAGGCCCTTTTAGCAAAATTAGCCTTATTTGAGATTCCCTAATGTTTGAGGCACTGTATTCTTAATAAACCCTCTCAGCGACAAAAGCCGGCGGTCTGCTGTGAAACTAGAATCAAGCAGGCTGCAGAATGTTTGTATTTTTTAAACAAAAAAAAAACCCACAGAGATCGGAAGATTCAGCATCTCATAAATAAAACCACCAACCTGCATATTTGCTTCCTCAAAACAGTCAAAGGTGGCAAATGTTTGGAAGGCAATTCTGCCAACCAACCTCCCCACCCCTTCAAGAATGAAAACCCTGAGTAACTGGGAAATTACATGTGCAAAACAAGACTGCTGTTCTTTTGCTCGAACTATCTGTAATAGGTAGTACTCACAGCCAAGCTGTCTTCCTAACCTGACATTACAGATAGAGCTGGCAGGCAATGGAAGATAACTCGGTATAGGATATAACAAGGGCATTTGGAAAGAAAGGAAAAGTAAAACCGTTAGCAGCTCTCCAAAAAGAAAACAGCTAGATAAATTCATTCTCGCTTCATGAACCATAATTTCACATCCTCTGGCAAAGTCTTTTGTTTTTAAAGAGAGAGTGAATGGGGAAGGGATGACCAATTGGAGCAAATCTCATACTGAAAAGATACAAAGGTTTTACGACTGCAAGAAACAGAGATACCCCAGAGTTTAATATTACATTTCCTATGGTGACATAAGGGACACGGGTGGCACCGTGGGTTAAACCACAGAGCCTAGGACTTGTTGATCAGAAGGTCGGCGGTTCGAATCCCCGTGACAGGGTGAGCTCCCGTTGCTCGGCCCCTGCTCCTGCCCACCTAGCAGTTTGAAAGCACACCACTGCAAGTAGACAAATAGGTACCGCTCCAGCAGGAAGATAAACAGCGTTTCCATGCATCTCTGGTTTGTCAGAAGCGGCTTAGTCATGCTGGCCACATGACCCAGAAGCTGTACACCGGCTCCCTCGGCCAATAAAGCGAGATGAGCGCCACAACCCCAAAGTCGGCCATGACTGGACCTAATGGTCAGGGGTCCCTGTACCTTTTTATGGCGACATAGAATATAGGGCTCATTTGTTCTTGCAAACACTGATAAAAACTTTGCCACTGCTAACGTTCTAGCATTTGTCCGGTCTTCCAGTAGGAACCTGACATAGTGAGCCTCTGATTTTCCCGGGAAAGGCACCAGCAAGGGTAGTATCAGTTCAGCCCTGGCCTGCTCATACTTCGCACAATGCAACAAAATATGATTTATGGAATCGATGTCTTGAGCACACGAGCAAAGTCTGTCCTGGTAGGGAACTCCTCTCAACCTACCATCCAGCACTGCAGAGGGGAAGACATTTAGTCTGGCTTTGGTGAGAAGCCTTCGATAGTCAGGTTTTTGATGTAAGATGTTAACTCAAAGACATACCCATATTGAACTCCTGCTGCCAGCGGACTACAGACTGCGTGTGATCGAGATCGCAAGTCACTGTGTGCATTATCCCATACTTCAGTTGTTCTTTTATTTCCTTTTTTTATTTCCTTTTTAAAAGGCGATTCCCCAAACTGGACACAGCACTCCAGATGCTGCCTGGCCATGATTTGTTCTCAATAACCCCTTATTAGTTTCTTGAAATCAAATCACTGATCCATGCACTTTTCCCACAAACTACATAAGAATCTGCTATAGAATTATGCTTGCTATCAATGTCACACGGATCAATTTCTTATTTCTAAATCAAGTAGGCAAATAAATATTGGGCAAGGAAAATGTCACTTAAGAGAAAGATCCAAAATATTTTCCTTGAAGCTTGAATTTGTTTTATTTGATGTTTTAATGTCTCGTCCACTGCTTTGAGATTTTTTCTTTAAAATATTAATTAATAATAATAATAATATCTGCTTTCTTCTCCTTTTTGAAGAGAGGAACAAATGGCCCATCTCCAAACTTCTAGCATCTCACCTGTTATCCAAAAATTCTCAGTTCAATTTTGTTTTCTAAGCCATGGGGGAAGTAGAGAGGGGGTATTTTGTCTGGATCACGACTGTGAACATTGTACTGTGACTTCAGCCAGCACCAGGGTTTATACCTGTAATTAAGAAGAAAGCAGAAACTGAGGGCTATGTTAAGCATAACATGTGCTCTCTCTCTCTCAAGTGAGGTGGCAGCCATGCTTGCTTTGAATGTGTGTGTGGAGACGTGTTTGGTACAGTAGCTTTGTTTTAATTTTTGCAAACAAGGCCAAGACTTCAGGATCTGATCATCATGTCATCCAAGCCAACAGATATGGCAGGCAAAATATTGAACAAAGTGTGAATGAAAAACTTGCACATACTGCCGTCGCATACTTATTTGACACTTGCTGTGAAGTTTTGAGCAGCTGTTTATATATATAAAGAAAGATTCATAGCATAACGATGAGGCTTAGGGATAGTGGGAGGTAAGATATGGATGAGACCATGTGGGGTGTGTGGAAATTAGCACAGCATCCCATTTTGAAGGCAAACACTTCTTTTTTCCCTTGTTTATAGCATTACATATTTCCATAAGTAGTGAAAGATCAAGCAACTTTGGCTGACAGAACACTGGAAACTTAGGGTATCTTTGTAATATTTGTTTAATTCATGTACATAAGCTATAGGTCTCTCCCACAATCTCCGTTCTGCCTGCACACCCTCAAAATCTGCTCTAGAGGGTCAGAGCAGATTTTGGAGGTATGCAAGGGAAGGAGAAGGAAAGAAAGTCTCATTGTATGAGTGGAGCTCCACACACAGAGCATTGGACACAGCATTGTATTTGTTTAATTTAGTCTGCGTTTCTGTTTGTGGATACCGAAAAATGCACAAGGAGGGCATGGAGGAAGCAAACAGGCAGTCCTGCAAAATACTGCAATAATAATAATAATAATAATAATAATAATAAATTTTATTTATATCCCGCCCTCCCCAGCCGAAGCCGGGCTCAGAGCGGCTAACATCAAATGTATAACACATAATAATAATAATAATAATAATAATAATAATAACAATAACAATAATTTATTATTTATACCCTGCCCATCTGGCTGAGTCTCCCCAGCCACTCTGGGCGCCTCCCAATCAAATGTTAAAAACAGTACAGCATTAAATATTAAAAACTTCCCTAAACAGAAGTTTAATTTCCATTAGATTCCCAAGAATCCATTAGATTCCCAAGAGATCCTTTGTACCTTGGTGTACTTTACCTCTCTCCCAACCCCAAACTCTCTCAGGGCTGTACCAATTGTCAGTCCTACTCAAAGCAGACCCATCTAACATGAATGGGTGTGACTAACTTAGGTTCATTAATTTCAATGGGTCTACTGTCGAGGATTCTTTAGCTATGATTCCTGTGACTTTTGGTTGCCCCTTTTGGTCCTTCCAGCTCTATGAGTAGAATGTAGTTGGATAAATCCCTTTGTCTGATTTCATCAGTCCTACAGACTTCAGAAGCGGCTGTAAATGGTTTCACTGGTGCCCACCATGAGCTTAGGGATGCCTTACACTGGAAAAAGAACACAAGTCAATGAGGAAACAAAAACTGATTGTCTTAATCCATTAGCAAGCCATCGGTCAAATCAACAATAGCTTCCCAGCTTTTGTAACAATATATGTCCGTGTGACAAGTTACATAGGCACTGTATCTACCTTCTCCATAGATGCAAAAATAACTCGAGTGTTTCCAATCAGAAGCAGATGTTCTAAAACTGTGATCTTCAACCCTGGGTCCCCAGCTGTGGCTGGACTACAACTTCCATCACTTTTGACCATTGGGCTAGATGTTAGTTTCTGTTTTGCCACTGAGCAGCTGCTTGGAGTCACAGGACTCTGTTTACATTCCAGAGACCTTCCAGGCTGTTGAAAGTCTCACAGGAGATGGGAGACGGGATGTGACGTTAGTGGTTTCCCGTTTCCTTTGTTCCTTTGTTTCAGTTGCTCTCTGCTTTCATAGAGAGAGGATGTCTTTTCTGTCTGCGTAGCTTAGAAATAAAGCATAGCATGTAACCATAAATCTCATCACTTCTGCTGCTTTGGAAACTCTGCTGAAGAATGTGCCTGAGGCCTCATCAAAGGCTCAGGTCGTTAAACACATCAGGAGGCGATTCCGAAGGACTCGGGGGAAGAAAATGAGCTTTATCAGCTTGGCCAAGCGGAGATCCCGACACTAAGGTGGCTGGGAATGATGGCAATTGTAGTCCAACAACACCTGAAGACCTAAGGTTGAAGAACCTTCATCTAGAGCAGGGTTTCCCAAACTTGAGTCTCCAGCTGTTTTTGGACTACAACACTTGATCTTAGCCAAAAGGCCGAGAAGCGATGGACTACAACTCCCACCATCCCTAGCCAGCAGGGAGAGTGGCCAGGGATGATGGGAATGGTAGTCCAAAAACAGCTGGAGACCCAAGTTTGGGAAATACTGCTGTAGGGCATAGATGGGTAACATGTGACCATCCAAATGTGGTTGCCCTCATCCCTGAGCTGGGGGACTGATGGGAATTAGAGTTAGCAACATCTGGAGGGCCATAGGTTGCCCATCTCTGCTCTGTATGGATCTGCCAGTTTTCTTTTTTCTCTTTCTTGCTTCATAGATAGATCATCAAACATCTTGTTCTCCAGGTCCCATCCACCCTTACATCTTTCTGCTCCACACACTACTTTGATTTAGGTAGGCAGCATGCACCCAGATATAACAATCAGGTACCTAGGGAGGGAAAATCATGCACCATAGACGAAGATTTGGCAGTGGATTCCTATGATGTGTAACATTTGGTGGCAAACCTGGGTTTGCTGAGAAACTGTGAAAAATGGGATTTTGTGTACAGGACACCTGCTCCCAACATGGGCTGCATGAAAGGGAAATCAATGAAATTTGGAGTAATCACAGTAGATGAAAGGGGGGAAATGATATAGTTACATCATTCATTGCCATGGGAGTTGTAATTATTGTGAAGATTGAAATTCCAGCAGATGGGCAGGCTGCCGGCACATCAGCCCAACTTTTTATAAGCTAAACAGCCTCTGTGTGTGTGTTTTAAAAACATCCCTGCAACAGGAGTTCATGTTGTTTTCATTACTTGCCAACTGCTGTGTGAATTGTCAGCTGTGTGCTTGTCATCCTTTGCAGTTTCAACTTCAACACTTGGTGCGTCTTTCCCTGACTCAGAAAATAGTCCCATTATCAATGCCTTGCGGATAAAAATCAAACCACTTATCAACAAAAGGGTCCATTTGTCCTCTTTTGATAGCTGCAGTTCCAGGCTTACAGCAGGATGGGCATCCTGCGGTTTCTCTTGCCCACCCTTGTGCCCTATTCCTATGTTTGTAAAGGTAGAATACAGAACTGACAAGCCATACAGAGGGATCTTAACTTGTAGCATCCTCTGGGCAACATGCTGGGCCACTACAGGTTATCTACATAAAGTTATCTGTGTATCCATTTACACAGTCCAGCTCACTCGGCAGCCTTTAAACCCATCACTGCATACTGAAAAGCCTCCAGGTGATTGTAGTAGCAGCCTTCAGAAACAACAGCTACAGGCATTTGTGGAGAACCGCCATTTTGTTCTTCCATTGCCACTTACTTGCTCACTCACCCTCTGCAGGCACTTGACTTCCAACAAGAGAGAGGAGGGAGGTGGTCCCTGAAACTTTCTTCTTGATAATAATAAGAATGGTAATAATAAATGTGTGCAGCACCTGCGCTGACTGAAGCCCATAGGTGACTTACAACATACAAAATGAGAAATATGAAGATCAGGTACCCATTCCTCCATTATACAAAGCTATGCACACAAAAATCTTCCCCATATGAACCAATACAAATAACTCCGATAAGAACATCAAAAACTGTCATCCAGAGGAAGAGGTTAACTCGAAAACCCTAAAAGCTGTGCCACTATTAAATCTAATAAAATTTCGTATAAAATCCTCGTTCTAATTTGCTGTTAGGCAAAAGTCAGGTGCTGAAGGGTGATGTGAATGAAAAAGTCTCAGATATTTGCAGAAGCACACCAGCTTGTGTGCTTTGCGATATTGTCCCTCTGATTTAGGAGTGAGCAGTGAGGGTTAAATAAGCTGCTTCCATGAGACTTTTCTTTACAGGACCTGAGTTGACTCTTCCTTAGCAAAGCTTGCTTATCCAACTAGTCTGCCGACTAGTTTTTTTCACCAGAAGATCATGATAATAACAATGTTTACAAAGTTTTTAGAGATATAAATCCCTTCTGGCCAAAGGAGCTTTGCACAATCCAATATCAGCTTTGGCATTCATTATGATGCATTTAGTTGTGCAGCAAGAGAAAACAGTATTCCCTTTACCCTGAGGCCTAACTGGTGCGGCGGAGCCATAGCTCTGTGGCAGATCATCTGCTTTGCATGAAGAAGGTCCCAGGTTTCAACTCTGGAATTTCTTAGGTGGGGTGAGAGAGGCCCCTGCCTGAAATCTTGGAAGGCTGCTGCCATCAGTGTTGATTATATTGAGCTAGGTGGATCAACCATCTGACTCAATATAAGGAAGCTTTCCTATGTTCCTAACTGGGTTGAGGTGACACACAACCCAACAACAATCTCCCCCATAGATGCAAGGCAAAATCCTCACGCACACAGCTGTTTGCAGTAGGATGAAGTGGCTTTGGAGACCGAAATATACTCAGAGTCGAGAGTGGATTTCATGCTCTTTATTCAGCTCGTAGTGGTGAGAAGGAATGGAAGTTTCCCCAAAGTATCTGCTTTATATACATTATTTACACAGTGGGCTGCACGTGATTGGCTAATTCCGGAATTCTCCTGTAGGCCAATCAGATTGTGGATTCACTTCCATCTGGAGCTGGATTGGGTGGCTCCTGCAGACCAATCATACTGCTGCATTGTTCTAGGACCAATCAGACTGCTGCATTCTGAATCCTATTGTTCTAGGACCAATCAGACTGCTGCATTTTGGATCCTATTGTTCTAGGACCAATCAAACTGCTGCATTTTGGATCCTATTCAACTCAGTACATAACAGAGACATACACCTCAGAGCACATGTTCTGAAGCAGGTAGCAGCCTCACCTGCTAGCATGACAGTGGATACTTGAAGTGATGTGATATTTGTTTGTACATGTGTGATGTCTGTTGATCAACTAGGTAGACAGACGTAGATGTAGAAGAAGTCTCAGAAATGTAGGAAGAACAGCCTAGGCTCACTTTTGTTGTCTGGTGCCAGAACTGAGGTGGGGAAGCATAGGAGCCAATTCCTAGGGGCTGAGGTCCCTTCGCCCCCCCATAAGATATTTGAGGGGGTCGCATGCACCCCCAAGTTGGTGGACACTGTCATTCAAATTATGTGTGTTGCGTCTTGTGATAGATTATGCAGGGTGGGGGCTTACCTGCCCCAATATTTTATTCAAGTTGGCCACCCCTCTGGGAAAGAGACCTTCGGAGCGGAAAAATAACAAATATTCACCAGTCAGAAAAACCACTTCTGCCAACACCTGGCAATTAAACTGCACATTAAAATAAGGCAGCAATCCAGTGCATGCTTGCATGAAAGCTAATTCCATCAAAAGCAATAGGACTTAACAGAAAATACATTTTTGGCTAGGAGGCACTAATATGAAACATACAATTACCTCTCATTCAGAAAATCTAACATGCAGTGCAGAATTCTCTCCCTGAAGTGGGAAAAAAGATGGAAAGAAGAAAAAACACAATATCTCTTTATTCTTTTCTTTCCTGCTCTGTAAAAGGTTTCCATTGGTCCAGGTACTTTGGCTACTGGAGAGAATAAGGGTTTTCCTTATTGCGTGCCGGCATGTCATTTATACAACAGGTTATGTACACATTATCATGTACACTCACTCCCATTGCTGGCGTTTGAAGCCAAACCAGGAGAAATTCTCCTGTTTGATATGTTTTGCTTCAAACCACCTTCTGTCCAATCTGAAAGCATAAGCCACAGTTCAGCTGAGGTATGTACATTTCAGACATCCATAGCACATGTGCACATGACAAACTCATTGCATAGGGCAGGGGTCGGCAAACTAAGGCCCGGGGGCCGGATCAGGCCCAATTGCCTCAAATAATAGGCATCACTGAAACCTGGTGGGATAAGTCCCACGATTGGAATGTAATAATGGAGGGATACAATCTATTTCAGAGAAACAGACCAGACAAGAAAGGAGGAGGAGTGGCGTTATATGTCAGGGATGTGTATACCTGTGAAGAGATCCAAGATTTAGAACCTCAAAGCCAAAGTGAGAGCATTTGGGTCAAAATTAAGGAGAGAAGAATAACAGTGACCTCATTGTGGGAGTTTACTATAGATCCCCAAGCCAAACGGAGGACATAGATGATGCCTTCCTGGAACAGATGGCCAAGCATGCAAAAGGACGGGAGATAGTAGTAATGGGGGACTTCAATTACCTGGATATTTGTTGGATGTCAAACTCAGCCAAGAGCATAAGGTCAAACAGATTCCTCACTGGCCTTGCAGACAACTTCATTGTCCAGAAAGTGGGAGAAGCAACAAGAGGAACAGCCATTTTAGATCTGGTCCTAACCAATGTTGATGACCTGGTTAGTGGGGTAGAAGTGGAAGGATCATTAGGCGCGAGTGATCATGCTCTTCTGAAGTTTACTATACAGCGGAAAGGAGCAGCCAAGCATACTAGGACTCAATTTCTTGACTTTAAGAAAGCCGACTTCATAAAACTTAGGGAAGTGCTGGGTGAGATCCCATGGACAGTAATACTAAAAGGAAAGGGAGTTCATGATGGCTGGGAGTTTGTTAAGAGGGAGATAGTAAAAGCACAACTTCAGGCAATACCAATGAGACGGAAACATGGAAGGTGCCTAAAGAAGCCAGGGTGGCTATCTAAAGAACTTTTAACTGAGTTAAGATTAAAAAGGATGTGTACAAAAATGGAAAAGGGGGAAACCACCAAAGAGGAATTCAAACAAATAGCCAGCACGTGTAGACACAAAGTCAGAAAAGCTAAAGCACAGAATGAACTCAGGCTTGCTAGAGAGGTTAAAAGCAACAAAAAGGCTTTTATGGGTATGTTCGTAGCAAAAGGAAGAACAAAGAAACAGTGGGGTCACTCAGAGGAGAAGATGGTGAAATGCAAACAGGGGACACAGAAAGGGCTGAACTCCTCAATGCCTTCTTTGCCTCAGTCTTCTCCGATAAAGAAAACAATGCCCGACCTGAAGAATTTGGAGCAAATGATTCAGCAGAGGAAACACAGCCCAGAATAACTAAGGAGATAGTACAAGAATACTTGGCTAGTCTAGATGTATTCAAGTCTCCAGGGCCAGATGAACTGCATCCAAGAGT